TCACATTCAAGTCAGGGTCGATGGGGAGGTTGCGGCACCACACCCTGTCATGCACAGAGCAGGGCGGATCACAGGGTTGTGGTGCCACCCCTGTCACATACAGAGCCGGCCGATCAGGGGGTTGGGGCGCTGCCCCCTGTCACGCACAGAGCAGGGCCAATCAGGGGGTTGGGAGCTCCACCCTGTCATGCATAGATCAGGGCCAATCAGGAGGGTGTGATGCCATCCTCAGTCACGCTCAGGGTAGGGCCGATCAGGGGGTTGGGGCACTCCCCCCTGTCACACTCAGGGCAGGACCGATGGGGAGGCTGCGGCTCCACCCCATCACACACAGAGCAGGGCCCATGATGGGGTTGGGGCGTCGCACCCTGTCACACACAGAGCAGGGCCAATCGGGTGAGGTTGGGGAGCTCCCCCTATCAGGCACAGAGACGCAGGGCCGATCAGGGTGTTGGGGCGCCTTCCCCTGTCAGGAACAGAGCAGGGCCGATAGGGAGCTGGGTGAGGGGAAGGGGATGATGGCTGTTTGCAGCTGGTCACACCCCCTTCAGGGTTGGGGTCTCCACTGGGGTGCCTGGCCAGCCTGGGTGAGGAGATATGACTGTTTGCAGCAAGTCACACCCCCTTCAGGGTGGGGGTCCCCACTGGGGTGCCTGGCCAGCCTGGGTGAGGAGATAGGACTGTTTGCAGCAAGTCACCCCCCCTTCAGGGTGGGGGTCCCGCTTGGGCGCCTGGCCAGTCTGGGTGAGGGGCTGAGGGCCGTTTTCAGGCTGGGGGTGACTGAAGCTCCCAACCTCTCCTTTTTTCCTTTTTTTTTATTCTTGGATTTATTTACCTTCTATGGCTGTCACTGGAGCTGAGAGCCAGCTTTAGCTGTGAGACCTCGGCTGCTGAAAGCAGGTTTCTGTGCTTTGTTTACCTTCTGTATTTGAAACTTTGTTGCGACTCCAGCTCTGAGATCCCAGCCGGCTGAAAGCAGGTTTCTGGGGTTTTGTTTAGCTTCTATATTTGTAACAATGTTTCTTAGAGTGCAGCTCAGAGCCCAGCAGCTGCAGGTGGGGAATGTTGGCTTCCTCCATCACTGGAGCAAGCAAGCCTCCTGTTCGTGTCTGGAGCCTGGCTGCCGGCCGCCATCTTGGTTGGCAGTTAATTTGCATATCGCCCTGATTAGCCAATGGGAAGGGTAGTGAAGTTACGGCTAATTACTATGTTTCTCTTTTATTATATTGGATCATTGACAGCACTGTATTAGTGTAAGGTGTACAACATAATAATTTGATATATGCATATATTACAAATGATCACCACAAAAAGTTTAGTTTATATCCATAACCTCACACAGTTACAACTTCTTTCCTTGTGGTGAGATTTTAAGATCTACCTTCTTAGCAATTTTCAAACATACAGTACAGTATTGTTAATTAGTCACCATGCTGTACATTACATCTCCAGAACCTATAACAAAGTTTGTACCTTTTAGCCACCTTCACCCCTTTCCCTCACCTTCCAACCCCACCTCTGGCAATCACCAATCTGTTTTCTGTTTCTGTGGAGTTCAATTTTTTTAGATTTCACATATAAGAGAGACCATAAGGTATTTGTCTTTCTCTGTCTGACTTATTAGATAATGTCCCCAAGGTCCAGCCATGTTGTCCCAAATTATAAAGTGTTCTTAAGCAGTTTTAATATATATTACTTTTCCAGGAATGCAACTACCCTATAAATTTAGGGAAGACACTACTTTACTTTGTTCCAAACTTGATCAACAATTGTTTACTCTTTCGGAAAATCGCTATGAAAGGACCTCTCAGGGCGTCTGATCACCCATATCACACCCCAGCATTTGCACCTGTCACATTCCTGATGACTCACACACAGGGACAAGCCCCTGACTATTTTATGATGATCTTCCTAGTGTAGCTAGAAATACATATTAAAACACGTATTATTTTACTATGCTTACTTTCCCTTTATTTCTCCTTTATATTGTAGTTCACTTTTACATTTCTTTTTTTTAAGTTTCTTTAACTATATGAGTAAGTAGGGGGTGGCTATTCACCATCTGTGGACACACAGTTCACTCCATTTACCAGCTTCCCTTGCTGTTAAGGCATCCGTATAACTGAGCCAGGTTCAAGTCCACGGGACATGGAGTGTGCTGGTGCTGAGCTGAGGCTTTTGGGAGGCAGTAGGCTCACTGTCCCTGCCTGCTTTCGGGGTGCAGATAATAAGGCCATTGAATGGATAATAGAAGTAAGAGCCACAAGTAAAAGGAGCCTCCATTGTGAACCTTCACATGAGCCTTCACAGAGCTCAGTGGAATCTGTAAAAAGCCTGCAGCTGGACCATCACCCTCCTTGCTCAAATCGGGAAAAGGCACACTGCTGTGCCAGCAGAGGCCACAGCTGGGCTGCCACAGCGACGGGAAAGACCGAATCCCCCAAATCTGTTTTATAACCACAACTACACAGGCACCACAGCGGCCACCCTGCTGACATCTGCTGCCTCTGCCAGGTAAAGAGGGACGGTTACAGGTTACAGACCAGCTGGCCTGCTCGTTCCAACCACGCACTGACTCCGAACCCCACGGCGGCTGATGTTCTAGCACACTTGCGGTGTTGCAAATGCTACCACCGCTCATCCATGCTTCCTCTCACAAGAAGGGCAAACTTGATGACCAAAGGCAACAAGATGACCAAGGAAGCTCAGAAATGAAAGGATTGCCTTTGCCACAAAGTGCCTTTCCTCAAACAGAGGTGTCTCTTGGTCCCGTGTGAGTTCTCACAGTTCTATGTCCTACATTAAAGAGTGACAATTACCTCTTTCACTGACTTCATTGTGGCATTATATACTGCATTCACTGTGAGCACGGCTTTCGTTAACTACAAAAACTGTATCACACTGAAAATTATTTTTGGTAATAAACTAAAATAAACATTGCTATTGGGATTAAAATATATCATGAATAAGAAGGTCAAACATGTATTTGGAACGCACAATAGTAAGCATTTTTCACACATCATGTCATTTAATCCTCAAAATTTCAATGATTCCATTCATTATTCAAAAGAGGAAACAGAGGCCTAGAGAAGAAATTTGCCTAAGGTGATACAGCTAGTCAGTAGCAGAATCTAAATTCCTATTTAGGGCTGTTGGGTACCAGTTTGTTTCTCCTATTCTGCCTCTAAGAAACAAGAAAAGAAAAAAAATGCCTCAATAATACTCAAAAGAGATCACTTTGGATCATTAAACATATAAGTTAATCATTCTCTGGACTCCTTCCCCAGATGAGCCATTGTGTAATTCTATACTCATATACTGAGGCTTAGAGTTTGGGTGTAAAGCTGTAGGAATCCATCCTGCCCCACCCCATCATCCATTCCAGACCTTGATACACACCGGTGGCCGAGGGGCCTTCTGTGGTGCAGGCCACAGCAGCAGTTGCCAGAAACCCAGAGACACTTCCCATCCCGCCTTTGGGGCTGCACAGTCCTAGGCTCCCTGTGGGAAGCTAAGAGAGGGCTCCCTCAGGAGGGTGGTTGGGCACTCCCTCCAGGGCCAGGACTGCGGTGCCTAGAGTGGTGATTCGATGATCAGACAGTCCTGCTTCACAGGACAGACCAGGAGGACTTGGATAATTTTGATATGTTTCAGTCTCTGTTCTAAGCACTGGCAATGCAGGCAGAAATAAGAAACATGAGCACCCTGCACTTATGGAGCTTCCAGTGGCCATGTGAGCAGTGACCAATGCGGAGGACAGACCAGAGAATTCACCAGGTATTCTGGAACGTATAGGAGGTCCCCACCTAGGATACTACTCTGGGGTGGGAGACAGACCTGAAAAACAAAGTTTAAATTTCCCTTAAACTCAGTAGAATATGGAGTTTAGAGCAGATTAAATATAATTTAGGAAAAGAAAGAAATGTGACTTTTTTTACATCCCATGTTGTAGAGTAAAATCCACACTAACTACATATTCTCTCTATAATGTAACTAAGATGGCTTTGTTGCTTTTTTCAGATGAGCTATAAAAGATAAGGGTAGTGCCCGACTGGTGGGCTCAGTGGTTGAGTGTCAACCTATGAACCAGAAGGTCACAGTTCGATTCCCAGTCAGGGCACATGCCCAGGCTGCAGGCTCCATCCCCAGTGGGGGGCATGCAGGAGGCAGCCAATCAATGATTCTCTCTCATCATTGATGTTTCCATCTCTCTCTCCCTCTCCCTTCCTCTCTGAAATCAATTAAAAAAAATATTTTTTTTCAAAGATAAGGATAGTGACTTGTTACCTTATTCCTCTGAGATATGTGTTAAGAACATCTAATCTCACTACCCCATGCTTCCAAGTTTGGTCTAACTATATTTTAGGGTTTGGTATGTACTTCCAGTTTCAGTAATTAATGTCATATCACCCTTCGCTAAGTGAATAAGAAAGAATAATAATCTAGTAATGACAACTTTTCAGGGCTGTGCCCAGGCTCAGAAAATTTCTAGCCTTTTATCAATACTAGCCTCTCTCTATTCCTAATCAAATGCTTAATAAAAAAACAACAACAACATATTAAAATTAGGTCCTAAGAGCTAAGGATACAAGACAAATCTCTCAAAGAACAAACAACCTCACAATATTCATGAACCCTTAAAACCAAGACTCTCTTAAGGTTGGATCTTATTAGAAGAACATCATGGTGGCAGCTGATGTCAGTAATTATTTCTTTTCTTCCTCAAAATCTTTTCAGCTCTGTTCTTTTCCAACCTCGAAGAAATGTACTCCCTTGAGAAACATCAAATTGCATCCAACAGCTAATGGAATGACATCCATGAGATTCCCTCCCCACCCCCACCACCAATGCAGCTGGATGGTCCCCCGTTCATTCTATCCTGGGTGAGGCTTAAGGAATGACTGGGACTCGAGTATAATGTTCACCAAGATTCAAGAGTCTGGGCCCTCTAAGCAGAACCCCCAATAAAACCTAGAAATACACATGAATTAGCCCCTTACCTGAAAGAATGGCAAATTGTCTGTGAAGTTGTTCAATTATATCCACTGCCAACAAGGGCCTGATTTCCTGCTGCATGATTTCATCTGCACAAATGAAATACAAATTAGGTTAAATCCTTGCAAATTACAAAGAGAAATTAAAAGGAAAAAAGCTCTACTACTAGGGAAACGTGGGACTTATCAAGAATCAAGAGTTGGTTATGAACACATGATCCTCCTGAAAACTCTATTCCTGAGATGCATGCATGGGTCTGGGTTTTGAGTGGTTTGAAGCTGATACACTGAGCACAGGACGCCCTTTCTAAAGCTTCTCCCAAGGTTTTGGGCGGGATCAGTGTAAGGATTGGGCCCTGCAGTTGAAGCTTCAGTAGCTTCCCAGTTAACCTGCTAGGATGGTCTCGTTCATTACTAAGGGAGGGACTTAGGTGTCTGCTTACTCCTTTGGGTCTGCAGAAGGATATTTTTTTAAAATATATTTTCTTGATTATACAGAGAGGAAGGGAGAGGGAGAGTTAGAAACATCAATCAGCTGCCTCCTACATGACCCCTACTGGGGATCAAGCTCACAACCAAGGTACATGCCCTTGACCAGAATCAAACCTGGGACCCTTCAGTCCACAGGCTGACACTCAATCCACTAAGCCAGTGATGGCGAACCTATGATTTTTCTTTGTTAAATGGCATTTAAATATATAAAATAAATATCAAATATCAAAAATATAAATCTTTGTTTTACTATGGTTGCAAATATCAAAAAGTTTCTATATGTGACACGGCACCAGAGTTAAGTTAGGGTTTTTCAAAATGTTGACACGCCGAGCTCAAAAGGTTCTCCATCACTGCACTAAGCCAAACCAGTTAGGGTCAGAAGGATATTTTGAACACAACTTAGGTTACCAGAGTTCATCTCAAGCTGGGTCATAAAATCAGTCTAGATTTATGAAGGTTCTTTGATCTTTTTTCCCTCCCTCCCTCTCTCCCTTCCTTCCTTCCCCCCCCTTCCTTCCTTCCTTCCTTCCTCCCTTCCTTCCTTCTTTCCTTTTGCCTCCCTCATATTTGCCTCCATTTTTTCTTTCTTTCTGGAATACTTCAAGGGGCCTCTTCCCATGGCCAAGCATGTTTAAGGAGGCACTTCTTTATTTTGCTATTTAAAGATGATCCTTACTGAATAAAAGGTTATAGGTTTCCAAGACAAAAATTCAAACCTACAAATGTCCTCTAGCCCTATAATTTGGGAAAGGGGGAGTAGAGAGAGGGGAAGTCTAAGCGAAATCCCTTCGCCTGGGCTGGGAAGCGAAAGCCATTTTCATGCTCTCTCTGCCTGAGATATTATTATCCTCATTTAACTGTTTCCCAGGGAATCTCAAAGAATGAACTGGTTATTATTTCTACAACAGTTAAACATTTGCTTAGATTAAGGCACAAACCAAGTAGCCTGTGCACTAACACTAAATCGGAATCTCCTATTAATTCATCTGCAGTCAGGGTAATGCTGTGATATTCTAACGTTGACCAATCAGAGGTTATATCTGGGAAGCTCCTCCTAGAGCCGTGGTTTCTACTTCTCAGCTTCGGTGTGAAGGTTGAAGGAGATAATGCATATGGAGGTGTACACAGTGGGTATTCAGTAGATGCTGGTTATATGCATTGCTCTGGACACATCTTTCCCATAATTGCTTTCTGAAAGTCATATAAGGGATTGGACAAGTGCCAGTTTAAATCCAAAGACCCTTCCTCAATGAATTCTACATCTTTTTTTTTTCCTGAAGGAAAGGGGGTAAACTCAGGCCAGAGTTCCTTCAGCCCAATACTCTTTCTACTCTGAATTCACCAAAAATTCAAGGAACTCCTACATTACTATTAATTCTGTGGGTGCAATAATGGCATTGCTGTTATATTTTAAACAAAGGAAGGGCCTTCTTTATTAGATATACAAAGTAAAGTATTTAACAGAGAAAGTATATGAGGTCTGAGACCTGCTTAAAAGTACTCCAGCATTCCTCTCTGCCAAAAATGTTCAGGGAGCAGGAGAGAAGAAAGCAGATTGACAAAATATGGATAATCACTGAAGCGGGATGATGGGTCCATGGGGGTTCATTATACAATTCTCCCACGTGTTTCAAACACAATTAAAGTATTACAACCACATAAAGAATTTAAGCACACACAGGGCTTATGTAGCTAGAGTTTTTAGCTACAGAAAACAGTCGCCCAGTAGTCTACTCAAAAATAGAGATAGATTATTTTTTTTTTCATACATGAGGGAACATATTTAAGAAGCAATTATTCCAGAGAAAACTAAGATCATAGATGCAATTTATTATTGTTACACCTCAATATTTAAGGTGTGCTTTATATTAAACACTTTAAAGAAGAAAGATGTGAAGGGGACAACAGAACCGAGTAAGCCAACCATCCCTTGCCCCATTTTGTTTTTTAATTATTTTATTTTCATTGAAATATAGTTAACATATATTATTATATTAGTTTCAGGTATACAAGATAGTTATTCAACACTAGAAGCCCGGTGCACAAAATTCATGCATGGGTAGGGTCCCTAGGCCTGGCTGGCAGTCCAGTTTCTCTCCGTATGAGTCCTGGGTCCCCAGAGACTTCCCAGAACCAGAGTTCAGAGCCGTCGGGAGCTTGTGATTCCCTCCGGATTAAAAAAGACAGCCGCGTCCTCAGGTGCCAGACCCTTTCCGTGCCCACGAGCCCCCTACCTCTGCACTTTACTTCCGCAGCTCCTCTGGCTCTCAGTGTGCTTTTCTTTCCTTCTAGTTGTAGAATTTACACTCAGCCAGCCTTCCTGTAGTTCTGGATGATGTCCATTTGTGTTTTTGATGTATTTTTCAATTGTTGTGGGAGGCAGCAATTTCCCGGTGTTTATCTATGCCGCCATCTTAGTTTCTCCCGGCCTTTACTATGTTAAGATATGTTCCTGCTATACCCATTTTGTTGTCAGTTTTTATCATAAAGGGATATTGAATTTTGTCAAATGCTTTTCTGCATCTATTGGTTTTGATGATGATCATATAATTTTTATCCTTTATTTTGTTACTGTGATATATTGCATTGATTGATTTATGAATGTTGAACCATCTTTGCATCCCTGGGATGAATCATCTTGGTCATGGTGCCTAAACTTTTTAATGTATTGTTGAATCCAGTTTGCTAATATGTTGTTGAGAATTTTTGCATCTATGTTCATCAAGTATATTGCCCTGTAATTGTCTTTTTTTTGTAATGTCTTTATCTAGTTTTGGTATCCGGATAATGCTGTCTTCAGAAAATGACTATCTTAAAATATATATTTTATTGATTTTTTTTTTTTACAGAGAGGAAGGGAGAAGGATAGGGAGTTAGAAACATTGATGAGAGAAAAACATCGATTAGCTGCCTCCTGCACACACCCTACTGGGGATGTGCCCGCAACCAAGGTACATGCCCTTGACCGGAATCAAACCTGGGACCCTTGAGTCTGCAGGCTGACGCTCTATCCACTGAGCCAAACAGGTTAGGGCATGACTATCTTAAAGTAAAGAAATCATCAGGTCAAACCATCATTAGTCAAGGACCACTGAATAATTATGAGCACTATGTCTACAGAGAAAGATTTAAAGTATAATATCAAGGATACAAAAATCATACATGTGGTGGGATTGCAGCTACATTTAAAAAAGAAGAAAGCATGTGGTGTGTTTATGTACATGCATGCAGGCATATGAAAAAACAATACATGAAATAGTGTTAGAGTGATGGAATCATACAGTGGTTACCCCTTTTAGTTCACCTAGACAAAAGCATACTCTGATAGCCTTTATTTTTTAATGTTAACAGGACTTTATTGAAGTATAATTTACATGCAGTACAGTGCACAGGTCTTAAGTGTATAGTTTGATAAATTTTAACAAATATTTACACGGATGTAACCATCACACAGATCAAGATATGGAACATTTGCATCAACCCAGAAAGTTTCCTTGTGACCCCTGCTCCAGGCCCCACATGTTTGAGAGTTCCACATATCACAACCCTCCCTCCCATAAAGGGATGAGTTAAAGACCACATGGGTGCCTCTGCCACTCATAATCCAGACCTCAGTGATGGCACGGCACACAGTAGCTCTAAACATCTACTGTCTTAACAGCACTGGTTCCTCAGGGAAATGCTTCACATCTCTTGATCTATATCGTCAAAAGAAAAGGTGACTGTATCCAAGCGCTACGAAGGTTTCCGAGCCGTGCCATGGCTGTTATCAGGGACAGACACTGCTTCAGAATGCTGGGAGGATGTGAGCGGTGAGGATTTGAGCAGTGGGAGTGCTTAGGTAAGAGAAAAGACAAAGGAATTAATTTGTTGAAATCATCCTCTCATGTGGCATTAGTGTTTAGATTCTTATATAATGAAAGATCATGCCCAGTACTTCCAAGCATCAACATTCTTTTTTCCCTTTCAATTCGTTATGCAAACATTCAAATTTTGAACTCCTTGAACACAATTACATTTTACTTAGATCACATTTACTTCAGATCACTGCTCAATAGAGCTCAAGTTATGTGAAAATCTCAATGTTAACAATATAGTGCTTTTGCTGAGATGAAGGCAAAAAAAATACGTTATGGATTAATTAATGACAGATTATGCATATCGTTATTGCTAATCCAAATTTCACTAGCTAATCAACATGACACTCAGACACACAATAATTCAATTTAGTCATCTTTGCTTTTATGATTTTTAGTCATATATAAACCATATCTTTAAACATTTTAATTTTGTTCTTATTGTTGTAGGCAATTGGACAGACACAAGTAGAGCACAGATGATGGGCCAGGTACAGAAGGCCATTAGGGCAGAAAGCCCCAGGTGCCTAGCCATGGACAATCATTTGTAGGGTAGGACCTCACCCCCAGGATGATGTTTTAACCCTTAGTAAATCACTGGTCATGCAGTTTGGACCTCCTGACCTTTCTTCCCTAGAGATAACATCTATGCCTCAAGATGTATGTCAGCTGCAGGCCCAGAAAGCAACAAAACCAGCCTCAGGATCAGCTAAACTGAATAATGATGGTGCCGGCCAA